GAGGGGGGTAATGTCACGGACGTTGGACAGACGCCCCTTTTTGCCGCCCATTCCCTTCCCTCTGACGCCCACCTTCCATTTCCGGACCGTTTCCTTTCCTAGCTCATCCCAGTTTGGACACTGTAGATACGTTCCCACAACCGCATGCTACGTTCCCGTGATCGCCATGCCCTTGCCTTTTCTTTCTCGCCCTTTGTTCTCCCTTTGTCATCTTCACTGCCTCGCTCTCGTGCCTTGCCCTTGGTTGCTAAGCAGCCCTTCTAGTATATAAGGACCCCCCTAGGCGCTCCCTAGTCCCCATCTCGACCTCTTGGTCATTGGGACTAGGTGAGTGACCATAGCGTTGTACTTCCCTTCGAGTGCTAATGTATAACTTGGTCATTGGGACTAGTCTGTCGCTGTCTGCGTGAAGACTAGCTTCGTAGGTCTTGTGCCGTCGTGCCGGCCTCCGCTCTGCCCCGTCGAGTTTCTTGTTGCGTTTATCCCTCTCCCTCTCTTTCTTCTCCCTTTCGGCTCCTTGCCGCTCGCCTACGGGGTCGTCGCCGAACGTCGACTTGAGTCTACGCGCCTAGTCGCCGCGACAGATACTAGTATCAGTGCCTGCCGAGAAACAGCGACACCCTCAGCATTTAGGTTGGAAGGAGTGATGGATCATGTCAAGAGACAATCCGGAGTCATTACTTCCGTAGAGGACTCGTGGATTTACTTATCCTGTTCTGGGTCTGACTTCGCTTCTTCGTGTGCTCCGCTCGAGTCAAGAGACAGGAATGCGCTGCGGCGCAAGAACCTTCTAAGTATGGGAAGCAAAAGGTGCTACCAGGGTTCGAACCTGGGTTTCGGGAAAATCACATCAGTGGCAAGTCAAAATCCCGAGTGATGACCACTACACTATAGCACCGTGTACCGCCACACGCATTGAACTTATGCAGCACAGGCAGGTTGCCTTCCTCTGTTTGGTTTCCCGCTTTCCTCAATTCTCCGCACCCTGCAGCTGTCTACCATCATCACGATGTGCGCCAGTGATTGCATGTCGTATGGCGCACTGGGCAATTGGTCTTCTAGGTACGCCGCAAACCTCTCGCCCGTGGCAGTCAGTCTTGAGGCTGGAGTGTTGCTTATCCGCGCACCGGTAACAAGGCGAAGACCGGGGTCGCGCAAGGGTGTCTAGAGAGGTATGTGTTTAGATGTTTGCTAGCTGCACAGGTGGTGCAATAGCGTTTGTGCTATAGCTTAGGGCGTCTTATTCGCTTCTCTGTATCCTGTAACATGATACTTCATATGCTCATTGCCTTCGCATCCTTCCACGCCGTGTTTCCCCTTGCCGACGTCGCAGCGGCCAGCTTGCTATCCCTCTCGTCCCTGTCATAATAGCTGCGAGGACCAGATGATGTCAAGGGTACCATGTGCAGCGCTGCCCGCTGACGAACGGCCATCAGATGTGAGTTTGTCACATGCCCCTCTGCTCGGTCAAGTGAGCGCAGACGCGTCAACGAAACGTGCCACGCAGATGCAACGTTCTTCTGCTCAAATCGCGGCCCTGCAGCGCGGCCGCATCCCCGACGCCATGGCATTTACCAAGGTCTCGGAGCCGTTACGCGCCTCTGAAGCTTTGCGACCGAGAGGACCAGAAGCTATAAGAACGCGTTCCCCTTGAGCCGCGCGGCTCCTTGCGTCCCCGTGTCCTCTCTGCTGCACCCATTGGCGCCAGCCATGTACCCCCGCACGGCGCTCAAGTTCGCCTTGCTCGCACAGTTGGCGTTCCTGGCCAGTGCGACGTACTCAGACCCGAAGGTGCTCGATGCGTGTCCGGGCTACAAGGCGAAGAACGTCCTCGACCTTGGCCACAAGCTCACCGCCGACCTCGTCCTTGCCGGCACAGCATGCAACGTCTTTGGGAATGATACCGAGAAGTTGAAGTTGGAGGTCACGTACGAGAGCCGTAAGTAACCTCACAATGATTCAACGTGGACGCGTCGCGCCGCTTGCGAAGCGCTCGTGTTCGTGTCCTGGTAGCCCGATCTCACCTCTTACTCACGCGTCAGAGGACCGCATCCACGTCAAAATCACCGATCCTACCGAGAACCGGTACGAAGTGCCCGAAGAGGTCCTGCCATGCCCTAGTGCCAACCTCTTCGCTGGTCCCCTAACGTCCAACATCCGGTTCAACTACACCACGTCCCCTTTCTCTTTTTCGATCTACCGCTCGAAGACACACGAAGTCCTCTTCTCGACTGCATCGCACCCCATCATCTTTGAGCCCCAGTACCTGCGCGTGAAGACGAACCTGCCCGCGAACGCGAACATCTACGGCCTGGGCGAGCACACCGACACGTTCCGCCTCCCGACGCACAACTACACGCGCACACTGTGGTCTCGCGACGCCTATGGCGTGCCACACGGTGAAAACCTATACGGCAACCACCCGATCTACTACGAGCACCGCACGACGGGTACCCATGGCGTTTTCCTCGCGAATTCAAATGGGATGGACATCAAGCTCAACGACACCGAGGGCACCGGCACGACGCTCGAGTACAACGTGATCGGCGGCGTTCTGGACTTTTACTTCCTTGCGGGTAGCGAGAGCGACCCCACTGAGGTCGCGCGCCAGTACGCGGAGATCGTGGGCAACCCCGCGGAGGTGCCGTACTGGTCGTTCGGTTTGCATCAGTGCCGTTTCGGCTACCAAAGTGAGCGTTGAGGATCCTTTCATCGAAAGTCGTTTCTTACAGCCCGAATCCAGATTACATAGACGTCTCGGAGGTCATCACTAATTACTCGGCCGCGGGTATCCCTCTCGAGACTATGTGGACAGATATCGGTGAGTATCAGCAAGATTTTTCTTAGTTTGCTGCTAGACAAGGTGTTGCAGACTACATGGATCGCCGCCGTATCTTCACCGTCGACCCGGATTACTTCCCGCTAGACCGCATGCGGGAGATCGTCGATTACCTCCACTCACATGACCAGAAGTTCGGTACGTCGAGAAGTATACGTCCGAATGCTTCTTTTCTGACTGCTCAATCAGTGTTGATGACCGACCCCGCTGTCGCCTATGCCCCTGGAGAGGGTTACGGCCCCTTTGACCGCGGTACTACCGCTGATATATGGCTGAAGGCCGCCAATGGCAGTAGTCCGTTCCTTGGCGCTGTCTGGCCTGGCGTGACTGTGTTCCCGGACTGGTTCAATCCGAAGACCCAGGAGTGAGCTGACACAAGTCATCATAGTCCTTCCTGTGCTCACAATCCATCCGCAGCTACTGGACCAACGAGTTCCAATCGTTCTACAGCCCAGATACCGGTCTGGACATCGATGGCGCGTGGATCGACATGAACGAGCCCTCCAGCTTCTGCAACTACCCGTGCACGGACCCTTTCGAGCAGGCCAGGGAACAGGCCCTCCCGCCCGCGCGCACCTCCCCTCCCCCCGACCCAGACGCGCCCATCTTCGGCGAGGCGCCTCCGAGCAAGAGGAAGCGCGCTTCCGCCCCAGACCACTCCGGCGACAACGTGCAGAGTCCCCCATACGCGATTGCGAACTTCGCCGGGGCGGGCCCTCTCTCGGACAAGACCGCTTACACGGACGCGGTGCACGCGAACGGGCTGATCGAGTACGACACGCACAACCTGTACGGGACCATGATGTCGACGGCGACGCATGAGGCGATGCTTGCGCGTCGCCCTGGACTCAGGACGCTCGTCATAACGCGCTCGACGTTTGCTGGGGCGGGGGCGAAGGTTGGGAAGTGGCTTGGAGACAACTTCAGCGACTGGGACCATTACAAGCAGTCCATTGCTGGTATCCTCGGCATGGCGGGTGTCTACCACGTCCCCATGGTCGGTGCGGACATTTGCGGGTATGCGGAGAACACGACGGAGACGCTATGCGCGCGCTGGGCTTTGTTAGGCGCGTTTTACCCCTTCATGCGTAACGTAAGTTTGCGTGCTGCCTCTCACGAGATGGGACATTGACCATGAGTAATCAGCACAATGCAGACACGTCCATTAGCCAGGAGTTCTATCGCTGGCCGCTGACCACGCAAGCTGCCAAGAACGCGCTCGACGTCCGCTACCGCCTCATCGATTACCTCTACACCGCCTTCCACCAGGCGAAGACGGACGGCACGCCCGTCCTCCGCCCGCTCTGGTACGCCTTCCCCAAGGACACGAACACCTTCGGGATCGACACCCAGTTCCTTTTCGGCCCGTCTGTCCTTGTGTCGCCCGTCATCGACGAGAACTCGACGACCGTCGACGTATACTACCCCAAGGAGTTCTTCTACGACTTCCACACCCTCGCGCCGATCACGGGCGTGGGCAGCTCCGTGCAGCTCACGAACGTTAACTTCACGACCATCCCGGTGTCGATCAAGGGTGGCGCTGTGCTCCCGCAGCGTGCGAGCAGCCAGTCGACGACGACAGAGCTGAGGAAGACCGACTTCGAGATCGTCGTTGCGCCTGCGCTCGCGGATGGCTCCGCCTCGGGCTCGCTGTACCTGGACGATGGCATTTCCATCACCCCCAAAACGAGCACGAGTGTGTCGTTTGCGTACAACCGCGGCAAACTCACCGTGAAGGGCTCGTTTGGATACGCCACCGGGGTGAACGTCTCGCGCGTGCGGTTCGCGAACACGAAGAGTGCGCCGAAGAGCGTGAAGTTCAACGGGAAGGCGGTCAGCGCGGACAAGGTGGCGTTTGACTCTGCTAATGGGGTCCTTGACGTGAAGTTGGGTATTCCGTTCAAGTCGAACTTCATTGTCGAGCTCGATTGAGCGGGTGTTGCGTGCATCGGCGTTTCCCCGAAAGTAGCTCAAATACTATGGACTTGTACTGCTAATACCCCTAATTTGCAGCTGCTTGCATGATGCAATGTGTTTGCGTGCTAGCCTATGTCTCGTTCGCCAAGGGACTGCTCCACGTGGTTTTATGAATGATGACAGCCATGGACGTCAGTCCATGGTGGACTAGGCCGGCCGCCGATATGAACGCACCAGTTGCTGGCTCTGATCCGTTGACGCCCATCTCTACGACTTCTGTACGCCGAACGCCGTGCACATAATGGTGGAGAAATGCACTGACGTCTGTAACCCAAGATCGTCATCTAGCGCTGCTGTGTGGTATCTTGAGAATTTCCTGGAAGTGCCCATTTTCCGTTTCTGTTAGTGTCACGAGGTAAAGCGCACATTCCTGAATTCGTTGCGAGCTGATGTCTCTATGCACCCCCAGACAAGACATCAGGACCTCATATGGCCTTAGATGACCGTGTCTTGAACCCTTACTTGTAGAACGCGTAGTGACTCTGAACGCTCCTCCCTCAGGTAGGATGCTCGACAGGCAGGCAGATGATCTGTGTTCCGTCCTCGACTCAACAATCGGTCTACAAGTGAAGGCTCCCTCTGCTCTGTAAGTATCCTCCCGAATGTCTCGCGGGTCACATTCATTTCGCATTGTGGCGGAGGCAGTCCGTCAATTAAGGGTTGCACGCATTCAGCTTGACATGCTACCGCCTTCTTGGAACGCGGATCGAAATTCTATGCCTGTCTGTAATCTTGCAGAAGAATTGGTCATACAATCGACTACTATGTCATTAGATGTACAGTACAGATGTTGCGAGCAAAACAATGTCAGCGAGATAGCATTCACACAAAGCAAATGCACGCAGCAGATGAGCGAGGAGCATATTCATCAACGGGAATGTTTGTGCCATGCACTAGGCTCTCCTGAGCAACTTCGCCAAGGCGAACCGCGTAGCCTTCTGCGCTGCCCCGGGGCCATGCTCCCTCTCCAGAGCTCTCCAGTCTTCGGTGCCATACTTGGCTAGCTGCCCGATGCCGACATCTGCAATGTTCACGGGCGTCTTGACTGAACCTCCACCTTTGGCCGAAGCGTCCGCATCCACGTCAATGTCCATTGCGTCCTGGCCTCGCTGTGGACTAAGCGCCTGCTCCTTGACATAGCGCGACGCTCTTGTCTTCTTTGGAGGCGAGTAAGCCATGCCATCCTCACGCTCCTTCGGGAGGAGTGTGATATGGAAAGATTTGCGCTTCGAGCGGCTCACGTTGAGCAACCCGCTCTCGTCATAGCCAAACGCGCCACCGCGGATGTGGCTGCTCTCCGCTTGTGGCACCTCGTCGTCCATCCAGCTGTTCGTGTGGGCCTGGCCCAGGACGCTCTCTACCTCCAGCGAGTCACCGTCGTCCGCGTCCACGTCCCCATCGACGATGGCATCACCGCCTTCTTCTGCTTCCTCTACGTCCGCGTCGCTCGCCTGCTCCTCGTCCATGGGATCCCCACCGTCCTCTTCCCCGTTCTCCTCCGCACCCTCCTCACCATGCAACATCGCCTGCAACGTCTCGTTCGCCCGCTCGTTCGCGCTCTCCCTCATCTCCCGCAGCACCCGGTCCGCCACCTCGAGCGAGCGCGTCTCCGCATACACCTCCCTGACTGTCTCCTCCCCAAACCCATGGTTGCGCGCCATGCACGCCAGCGCGACCTGCATCCCCAGCTCCTTGACCATCTCGAGCTCTGGAGGGGGGAGCGTGTCGGCGAGCGACGTGACCGCCGAGCGCGTGTCTCGGTGTGCACCGGGCGCGAACGAGCGCGAGGACCGAGGGAGGGTGTATAGGCGCGAGGGGACGGAGCCGGACGGCGGAGGGTTGAACAGGAGGCTGAGCGCGGTGCGGTACTCGTGTGACTCGTCTCCAAGGGAGAACGAGGGCGGGACAGGGAGGGATTGGCGGACAGGGTGTCGGGGGACGCTTGGTCGCTCTTGAGGCGTGGCGGGTTCTCCCAGCGTGTAGCGACGCGCGAGTCCGCGGACAGGTGTGCTCGTGGGCGCGTCCGCTCGCGCTTTGCCCTTATCGACTATGTTTCCCTTGTCCGTGCGGTGCTGTGACTGAGCGGCCGCGGCCGCGCGGGGGGTCGACGCATTTGGCACAATCTCGTCCACGGCGTGTTTGGAACTACGGCGAGCCAGCGGCGATGACTGCGCCACAGTCACAGTCGGTACGGGCAACGACTGCCCGCGCTCCTTGAACGCCTCAAATCGCCGTTCGACGTCATGGCGGGCGCGCACGGCAGGCGATGCGCGATCCCGCCCCCGAAACATCTCGCTAGCGCACGAAGGCATTCCCTCCGCCAACCGTTGCAAGCGGGCAGCTAGGTTAGCAGGTGCACCATCTGTCGAAGACTCTGGTGCAATCCTCGAGTTCTTCGAGTGGCGCACGGGCACCCTCTGGAAGACGTTCAGCCTCTTCGGCGGCACTTCGGTCGCGCGGGGGGCAGCAAGCATTTTCTGCAGCCGGGCAACGTCCGACTTGTGGTCCCTCTGTCCGCGGGAAGGAGGGAAGACGGACGACGCCACGGACGACCCGCTGACAGACTCCGCGAGCTGAGAAGCCAAATTGGGTTGGCTGAAGGGGTGATGCTGCGTCGGTTCGGCTTTAGCGTCACCACGCTCGTTCTCCAGATCTTCATCGTCGTCCGGCACGAGTGTCCGCGGCGAGGACGGCGCGAGCGAGGAGCCGTCCGTCCCTTCGGTGATGGCGCGACGGGCGGAGGGCGGGCGTGCGCCCATGGAACGTCGCTCGACGGTCCGCACGGTCTTGACGCTGACGATGCGCTCCGTCGTCACCAGCCTTTCGGAGCCCGGAGCGGTCTCGCGCGCACCGCGGGCGGGGGTCATCGGGGCCACGTCCCTCTCCTTCCCCTTCGCTTTCCCTCGCACAGGCGGCCACTGCACGGGAGTTACGTCTTCCGCTTCCTCATCCAGCTCCGCGTCTCCCGCGCCGTTAGCCTCGTCCTCGTCCTCATTCTGGAAGTCCACCCCCGACCGCCGCGGCCCCTTCGGGCTCACGCGCGGCCGGCCCCTCGCATCCGAGAACGCCTTGTTCCACGCGCCCTCGTCCAACCTCGGGGGCGCCCTCCGCCTCTTCTGTGGTGGGGACCCGGTGTCGTCTTCGTGCTGCGCATGGGGCGCGTGCGGGTGCTCGCGGAGGTGCGCGAGATGGTGCGCGGTAGGCGAGTTCTGCGCGGTGGGGAGCGCCGAGGTCGGCAGGGAGGCGCTGTCAGTCTGGGGGGTCCCGAAGAAGTCGTCGGCGTCGGCGTGCTCGCTCTTGCGCCGGATGCGGGTCGCGTGCTTCTTGGGTGGCGCGGGGGAATGCGCGTGCTCGAGGTGGCGCCGCGCGTTGGCGTGCTCGGCGGGGGAGAGCTCTGGGGTGTCTGGACGAAGCGAGAGGTCGCGCTCGATGCGAATGTTTTGTGGGCGCGGGGGAGGAGACGCCCCCGAAGGTGGGGTCGTGGAGAGTATCGGCTCGTGGGTCACATCGAGGTCCGCGGCGGGGACATCCTCTTGGGTCATGTTCATGTCGTGGGTTGTGACTACATCGTCGCTATCGTTGAAGGGATTATCGTCGTCATCCTGCATTTGAGAATAGCTGTAGGTAAGACAAGTGGTTTGATCAGCATACCGCATACAGCCACTCGGGAGCGCACAACACCAAGCATCACGTACCCCGCCACTTCCACCACTGTTTCCTCGGCATCGATATTCATGTCCTCGTCATCGTCTTGAGCGTCTGCATGTGGGTCGTCTGTCAGCATAAGCTGAGCCTCCTCCTGATCATGTTCGTCCGAATCGCTGTCCGAGCCTACCCTCGGCCCATCCTCGTCAACGGGACTTGGCTCGTCGAATATCTCTCCGTCATAGTCTTCCGAGCCAATCTGGCCATCGTTTTCTTCGCCTTCCTCATCTGCTTCGTCGTCGTCTGATTCAGCTCCAAGTCGCTCACCATCTTCCAGCTCATCCTGCTCCTGAGGATCCACTTCCTCTACCACACTCTGCTCTCCCTCGCCTCGTTGCCTGTCTCCGGATCCGCCGGGCACTTCTACATCCTTCGCTTTCGCCTTCTCCGGTTCCTTCTGGCGCGACGGACCAGGCACAGGCTCGACCGGCGCCTCCTCGTGTGCTGGACCGCGCGCTCGCTTCCTCGCCGGCTCCTCTCCTGCCCCCTCGCTCACCCGCTTCCGCTTCTCCGTCTCCTTCCTCGACCGCGGGAGCGACACTTCCCTCTCCCTACGTCTCATTTGCGACAGCATCGCCCTCGCACCTCGTTCATCCACCGTCCTCGGTCGCAAGGCCTCCAGCTCTGCATCCTCCTCGTCATCTTCCCCGCGCTGAATACGCACGATGCGCCGGTCGAAGTAGTCCATGTTGCTCTTATAGCGTTGGAGCCACGATTGCCACGAGTGATGCGCCGCCCAGTCCTCCTAGTCCGCACGTTCAGCAGAGGCGAGGAGCGAGAGGGGAGAGGGACGATGACGAAGTCGTGTACTGACCTGCTCGAGCGTGCGGTACAGCTTCTCGCCCTGCCTCCCCCTCTGCGACGTTGTGTGCGCGGCAAGGTACTCCGCAAGCCTGTCGTCGTCGTCCATTGTGTATTCGACGCGCGGCCGCTTTGGCTGAGACCGTAATGGTAGGGGAGCAGGAGATGGAGACGGGGGTGCGGGCCGAGCCGCGGAGGACGCGCCTTCGTTGGAGCTGACTCGCGCCTTGGCTTTCGGGTGCTGTCGGTGGATGTGCTTGTTGATGAGCATGTCCATGTAATCCTGGTTCTTCATGTAGCGGTTGCGCCAGGACTGCCAAGTGTGACGCTTGCTGAAGGGCCACTTGTTTCCCTCCTGATGCATTACGTGCACGCAGAGGAGGGCGTCAAGGGGAGGGACACTCGCGATGGGTGTAGAAGGAGAGGGGACGTACGTTGCTGGCGAGACGTTCGTATAACGTGTTTCCGGTGCGCCCTGCGGGCCCAGGGTTGTACTTGGCTATGTACTGGGCGAGTAGATCATCGTCGTCTTCAGTGAATTCATTGCGTCTGTAGGTGGCGAGAAGGCGAGACATCAGCCGAGGACGTGAGGAAGACACCCTGTGCTCACTGCCGAGTTGGAGCCTGGCGGCTCGGCATGGTCTGCGCCGGAGATGTTGGCCACAAGGGCAAGGTAGGATGTGAGTATGATATGGATCAAAGCACGTTCAGAACGGATCCGGATGCTTGGTCGACGGTGGTGGATGCAGACAAAGCGCAACGATCAGCCCCGCGGCGCGGTCCGACCTGTGACCCATCCTGTGACACACGCGCCTCGTTACAAGTCACCTGCTCGCGAAGGTCGCTCGGCGCCAGAGCGCAGAGTATTCAATCCAGCAGTTGGCAAGCGTCCAGCATCTTACGGTATTTATTAGCTCGACGTCCGGAATTGCCTCGTGAATCCCCAGTTACTCCCCAACATGAAACGACTGGGAGGCTCAAGGGTGTCGGTCGAGGTCACACATCACACTGGCAGCAGGCCATGCCACCTTACTACGCAACGCTACATCGATGCAGTATGCACACATCACCATGACACATCATGTCAAACTCGACGCCTTCATATCCGTAACATATGCCAGAGACAGGAGGTCTAGAGGCTGACAGGGACGCAGCCGATCGACACGAGCCCGCCCTGCAGAACAATTGCGTTAATGGATTGCTTGCATATGAGGTCACACGACACGTACTGCGTGGCTGTTGTCGACGCAGCACACGGCTTGAGCAGAGCTGCTGCTGCCAGTGCCCACACCGATCACTGTGATAGGGGAGCAGTTGATACCGAGGAGCACGTTCGCGTCCTGAACAACGACGCCCAGAAGGCCCAAGAGAGCCGCGCCGGCGGGGGAACCAGCCTATTGTAGCCGCAGTCAGAGAGCGAACACGAGAGGTCGACGATATTCCTATGGTCTCAGTGGATTCGCAGCACTGAAGGTCTCCGGTGGAGCACGACTGGCGAGCCTCGATGCTGTTGGCGGCCGCAAGGAGGGGCAGAGAGACGATGGCGATCATGAGAGCAAAGGCACCAGGGAGCATCATGTTGCTGGAAGTGTGGTTTGCTGCTAAAGCGAAAGGCAAATGAGTTGTTCGACCCGAGGACAGTCTGACAGTACTGACCGGGATTTTATAGGTTTTCAGGACGCCCGGTCACTCCCTCCCCGTTCCCCATCCCCTCTGCCTCCCCGTCGGGCACGCAAAGCATCAGAGGCGTCACAGGGGCGAACTTGCGTAGTCTCTCCAGCTGCCGACTTCCGCGAAAACCGCGGGAGAGTGAACGCAAACGAATTACAACGTCGATAATGACAATTGGATCATGCTTGTGCGGAGCTGCCGCGGGTAAGACACGTCGTTCTCGTCTGCGACGCGAGAAGACGGAGCGCCGTACCGTCATTTTAAGGTGCAAACTGGTCCCCCAGATCCACGTCGTCTTGCACACGTCAATGCAGTACAGAACTCTTCAGCCAATCTCACAGGATGGAAGCAACATATCTATTGAATGCTCCACGAACCGCAGGCTCGGACGTTTTTGCGTTGCCGTTTGGGCGGTACTATAGTCGGTGCCGGCAAGATTGTAAGGGCGGCTGCCATTGACGTGCGGCCGTCGATCATGACGCAGGCCCTGACGATTTCGGCAGATATCGAGAGTGGGCCAGACTCACCAAGACCTACACAGTCCACCTCAATGTAAGTACAGGGAAAGGCTGCTAAGCGGTAAAGGTTGTACAGCTGAATCTTCTCATTGGCCGCCCACAGGTGACGTGTGCTTCAGCGTCGCTCAGGGTACCTAGAACCTAGTCTCGGCTCCAGACATTCCACAGCCCTCTTGTGTAAGCGCCAGAACGGATGGGAACGAGACTACCTAGAACCATATGACAGCACAACTTTAGCGGCCTGTTCACATAATTTGAAACAGGCGCCCCGCAAAGTGTAAGAAACTTGTCGTCACCAGGCCCGCGCAAGCATTGCAACGCCTCGGACAGACGTTCGCAACCGATGCATGCTAGTTGATTATCGTCGCCGTTCGGGTCTACCCTCGGCTCGTACGCACTGTCTGCAAATGCACCACAATCTCACAGCGGCAGTGAGGTCATCAGGACGTACATGGATTCGGTAACACGAGGCTGAAGTGCACCGAGGTACTCATCGCTGGACTCCTCCTGAGCGTGACGAGAGCCGCCGCCGTTGCCCCTTATGATTATCGGGATGTTCGTGCCCCCACTGGTTAACGGTCGCAAGCCCTGAGGTTTGAAACAGCGAGTTAACCACACGTAGAGCAATGTGATTCTGAGAACAGCACCAAGAGGCCTGGGAGAAAGAATGACGGCGGCTGAGATGGCCGAGTAACAAGCCACAAAGAACAGAAGTCGCTTCCAATTGGCACGCCATGCCGCAACAGCGATACACAACCTCATTCATACGAATGAGGCCGATCAGGAATGACAGTACGGTGATATCGCGGTCGGTGGTGATTGATGCATGATCTCGTCGCCGCACTGATGTGTATGCGCCTGCCACCGTTGCATGTGTACAAACGATGAAAGGGGTCAGACCGGCTGCTGAGGGTAGCCATCGAGTACGTTCACCACAGACAGCCAACACCGAGGAGCTGGAGCGCAGATATCAGCAGGTGCATGGATGGATGGCACCACTGCTGAAAGGCGTAGACGGCCACGAAGTTCAAGTCTGTACTCGACGGTAGCATTTCTCTGCTCGCGGTCCGCATCTCGAGCAACTTGGAGAAAGCAGCATTGGATTTGAATAGGAGATAGGATCGTGTGAATCCGCGGCGTATGGATGGGCAGGGGGCAACGGTATTGGAGGTTCGATTGACCTGTGCCGCACCTTGGCCCGAGAACACTGATGCACTCGTGCTCATATAAACCTTGCTTTCTCTCCATCCTACAGGATTGGCGCCTGGAATGCATCAGGATGAATTGAGTAGAGGATGAGACGAGCGATGCAACCGTATCGACTATCGATAGGCAGGAACTTCAGGAAGGAAGAGTTTGACGGAGACTGCCCGAGCCGCCGAGTCGCCAACGTTCCAACGTCGATATGAGACGCTGGTACTACTAGCGCCTTCGATCGGCAGGGCCACATTCACCACATCCACCACCGGCAGCCCGTCCTATAGGCCTGAAGTCCGGCTGTATGGGATGTTCTTCCAATCTTGTGGGCCATTCAGAGTGGGCCTTACTGTCCGGAAATGTCGATATTCTTGACAACAGCGCCACTACGACCATTGACCAACCCATGGATGCCAACCAGTGCAACGCGACAGGTCTGAGCGAATGTCAATCGTCTGGCAATGGGCCAACACTCGCGATTCCGGGACAACACGCTTTTCTTTCTCGTACATCGTGGCGTATCGTTGTCAAGCGTGCGCACTCCGGACGCGGCGACCACATACGTAGACCTCGTTGCGACTTTCCCAAAAAGTACCATGTTGTGCGCTTGCTTTTGTCTATTGCCGCAAAGCGTCCCTCTCACTTTTAATCTGCACAGCCTAGCGATAGCGTGCCCATGAGGCGGACCGCCTCTAGGATTCCTAGGGTAAGGCTTTATAAAGGCATTTGCATCGTCCGCCACAGCGCACTGCCAGTTTCCCTCCGCCTATTCAGACGATGGTCTCAGTCGGAGGTCTTCCCCACTCCTCTCTAAGTGACGCCACACACCTCCCGCCTTCTCTCTCTGACGCGCTGCAATTCATCAGTGCTGACGCTGCTGAGCGACCGAAGCCCTGGTGGATGTCGGAGAACATCGCACAAGTGCGCCACTCGAGTTGTGCATCTCACCTCAGTGGCGGCTTTACGGCTCGAGGAACTTGGTCGATGGCTTCGTCTGTCGCGAGCTCTTGCTCGTCCACTTACTCCTCTATATCTTGCTCATCTGCCCCGGGACTCACGTCGGCGTTTCCTGTGGCGAGCTTTGTCGGCTTGAACCAACGGCTCGAGCCTCAGTCGTCCCGTTCCCGGTACTTCCCTGCCCTCGTTCCAGTCTCACTTCGCTCAGGCGAAGAGTTCTTGGGTCATAATCCATCTCAAGCACCAGCTTTATCTCAGCACCGTCTCAAGTCGCCCTGGTTCTTCCCGCCACCGAAACAACAAGTCGCTAAGAAAGGTGCACCCTACCTGCTCCTCTTCGTCGTGGGTCTCACTGATGTATTCTCGAAGGTTCCGATCTCAAGCAGGCTTTCCTCAAGCTGCCGAACTTGTGCGTACCGAAGTTTCGGCCTGCCATGGGTCTCGGTCTAGTGCCCCAGCCTTTGTCTGGGTCGCCACCGATGTCGTCTGCCAGGGAACCTAAGCAGTCACCTTTCCTCGTGCCTTTACCTCCGGCTCTCGCTTCGTATGATCCCACCAGCTCTCCCAGGGGAGTTCATGTAACTATTTGGGGGCCACCGTCTGCCACATCTGTGAGCTCGTCATGCTCGTCGTCGTCTTCCGGAAATAGCAGCTCCATATCTGGTACACCGCTCTTCTTCCCTGGACTCAGCAACCCCGCAGTATGGAGTCCCGGCGTGTCGAACTTCTCGCTGAGCACATCTCGCTGGCCTTCGGCGGACGAGATCGCGGAGTCGTTTGGCATGCCCCGCAAGGATCGGGGTAGCGAGAGTGCTTTTGGTCTTCTTGATGCAAAGCAGGAGTCAAACGGCGTGCCTTTCTCTTCACCGTATCCCGGACCACCTCCTGGTCTTCCTCATCCTCCGTTCCTCATGACTCCATATGGGATGCGTCCTACACCTCATTTACTGGATTGTTATCCCATGTTCGTTCGCGACGTCCCCGACAAGGACGATGGCTTCAAGCTCTGTGGCCCTGACGCCTGCTACTGCGACTGCGATTACGAGGTTGCTCCCGGCCCCATCGTCCATCGGTCTACTCAGATCGCCCACGCCGGTTTGACCTTCACTGTGTCGAGTATGATCGGAATGGGTGCCTCGTCGCGGGTATTCCGTGCAGAACGTCTCGGCAAGAGCTACGCAGTCAAGGTCATCCACAAGGGCGCCGCTGCCATGGTGGGCTTCACTCGTCAGGAGTACCTTCGTGAACTCGAAGTGTTCAAGCGCATCAACGAAGCTCCCGAGACGCACCGGTTTCTCTCTACGCTCAAGATGTCATGGGAAGATCTTGCTCAGGATCGGATCTTCTTCGTCATGGTAAGGCACAAGCTCGTAGAGTTCTGTCCTAGCGAAGTGCTAATGTGTCAGCAGGATCTATATCCGACGGAACTGCTCTCCGTTCTGGCCGGAGGTATGCCAATTACAATGCGGGACCGTGAACTCTACTGCAGGGAACTGGTGTGTCCGCAATGTTGATTCTCGTGGTCATCACCATCTAATGCCAAGTGTAGATTTGTGCTGTAACCGCTCTTCGTGACCTTGGCATCATTCATCGCGATATCAAACCAGGCAACGTGCTCATCGACGTCCATGGTCGTGCCGTTCTCTCAGACTTTGGAAGCGCCATCAACGTCCTCTCGGATTCCGAGGACGACTTCGAGTATTGGAAGTGCTACGATTCCGTAGGAACACCTGCTTACATGGCTCCCGAAGTCGCGGCCGTCAACGTAACCGTCACTGGATATCGCCCCTGCGCCGACATATGGAGCCTTGGCCTCGTCTTCCTTGAGATTTTTGGCAACTTCTCGGGCCCGTATTTCCCTGTCACGACGATCGAAGCGATTCGGACGCAACACGCCAAGCTTGACCCCATTGAAGGCCTCGACGTTAAGCAGGTGCCTCTTCTCGAATTGCCTCCGGGTCTTATGGTCATGCTTGAAATGGTGAGTGTTCTAGTTAGCTTCAAGGGTGATGATCGTGGGCCTACATCTTTCTACAGATGCTTCGATACCACCAGGAAGAGCGCTTCACTGTGCAGGACCTCTACCTCATGTATCAAAGTTACATGTATGACTCGGAAGCGTCCCCGGCGAAAGTTGCCCGTGCGTACATCATGACAATATGGTGTTGCTCCCTTCCTGATCTTGAAAGAAACTCATGTAGATGATTGGAAGCCTGCCATTGTTTCGCCGCAGGCTGCTGATGACAGTGATGTCACGGAACTCTTATCTTTCCGCGGTTTCGCAAAGACGATGCCGTTAGCCCCAGAGGAACCCGCTGAGCTCGAATACCGGGCACCACGCATGTTCGAGTAATCGTGTTTGTCTCGACATGTCTGATGGTAGCGGTCGTGCGCATCGGCTCGTCATTCCTCGATGTATGCGTGTTACCGCGGATGTAAACACACTGGAGCCGAAGGCACCGATTGCGAGTGCCCATACTCAGTTGCTGCTCGATTGTACATACTTGTAATAACAGGATCGTTCTGACGAAGGACAGTCTCGTTGCTGTGTATATATAAATTTCGTGCATCAGCAACACCGGTTACGGTGGATGCCCTTTGATATCGCAACGCGCTACAGAGTGCACCTCCCGCTATCACGACTATGTCCCCGGAGGACATAGCTGGATCGATATTGGCAGCCGCTGGCCCGCTGGAAAGTCGCGAAAGCCTGCTTGCACAACTCACGAAGCTAGCATTGTATCTGCGCGCGACAGGCCTGGTGAGGTGGGTATCTGACGTTCGGCGGATACCCGGCTTTTCTAGTGCAGCTATGTGAATTGCAGCTGTTCGCATGGACTCTTGTGAAGGACCTCGAGGAGACGAAGAAGGCAGATCGAACGGTCAGAGACTGAAACTACGTGCGCCTTCGTGGTGCACACCACGTCGTGAAGTGTTTATCCATAGATCCTCTGCAGGTGGTTCTGACAGGGTGTTGATAGGCGCACTGGGACCTCCCTGAGAAGACGCCGTCCGCAGCGAACTGGGGGAAATCTGGATGCTGGGGGTGTCGATATCGATCTTTTCCGTAAGCCGGTGCTGTGGGGTTCTAGAGATGGCGGCGGTCGAATGAGACGGGACGTGACTGATCATCTTAGTCTCGGCTCCAGACGTTCTACAGCCCCCGGCACTCGATGCTTCGCTACGCTCAGCAAGCCTTTGGACGGATTAGGAAGGAGGAATTGATGGAAAGGATCGTGAATGGATCTTGAAGCTTGAAGAGGGGGAAACGAGCGCCGGGAGAGAGAGGGCTGTAGAACGTCTGGTGCATTTCGGGCTCGGCAGAGGGCATTGTGACCTCGGGTTACTCGGGGTGACCAGCGTGACTCTTACACTGAGTGAGCTGACCCTACGGCCCTCGAAACTCGTGCTTTAAGGTCCTTCTGGTGGGTGAAACGAGTCGACTAAGAGCTCTAACCGGCATCATTCAATCCATTTAATTTATGAAAGCGATACGACAGAAGGGAGGGCACTGACAGATAGTGTATCAAACTTGGGCGCTCCTTCAGTGCGCCCATGCATTTCCGACGCGTTGCTGCCCATCTCCTTGGATTGCTCATGCAGAATATTGACTCAATTGAAGAAATACCCATTTGCATTGAACATGGGGAAATCAGATACATCCTGTGCACCACACATGTTTACTTGGGCCTGTATCCTCAACCTCGGGCCTTGACCTTCGGGATGGCTGAGGCTGACAAAGCCCACGTGTGGTGACTGATCGTCACAATGCCCTCTGCCGAACCCGAAATGCACCAGACGTTCTAGCGGTACAGACTGTAAGCGCTAGAACGGATGGGAACGAGACTATGATCATCTGTGCTGTATATGGTGGCTTCACAATGTTCATTCCCCGTCCTTCGGATTCCCTGGAAGAGCGGCCCGGGTCCCAGGATGGCCCCTGAGTCATGAACAACGTCATCTGTTCCCGGCTATGGGAACCCCGCCGGATGCTTTGCAGACACCTCTTAGCATACTACCACAGCCTCACATAACCTAACGACAAAGACTTACCGCCATGAGCGAGACACAAGCCGAGTACCCGCTTCAAGGCAAACTGGCGCTGATCACTGGATGCACGTACGTATTCAAGTCTTGACGGCTTCATCCCACTCACCATATGCCGGTGTTGCCTTCCTGTGTGTTGGCGCCTGGGGTCCGGACGCCAACAGTGGTGGGATTGGGCAGGCGACGGCGCGAGCCTTTGCCCGAAACGGCTGTTCAATTGCCGTGCACCACTCCTCCGCAAGATCGAAGGCAAAAGCTGACGCCCTCGTCTTGGAACTTATCAAGCTGGCTCCGGGTGTACGTGCGGCGGCCTTCGAGGCAGACTTGTCCGCGTATGACAATGCGCAGACGCTGTGCGATCGAGTCACCGATATCCTCGGACATCCGGACATTCTCTTCAGCAACCATGGAGTCACCGGCCCTAGAATTGGGCCCGAGGGCGACATACAGAACGTCAGCGCGGAGTCATTCGAGGAAATTTGGCGTACGAATACAGGAACGGGCTTCGTTGTACGTGTTGTCTGCTTTGCAACCCTTCTGAAAGACTAGGAGGATGAAGCCGCATCCTATGGTGCTGATTCTCCGATCTGGGATTTGCGGTACAGCTTGTACAGAAGTGTTTGCCATATATGCAGGAGAAGCAGTGGGGCCGCATCATTTTCACATCGAGGTAAGGATTCCGTCGATCATCAGTGTCGTCCTGTGTTCGCTGCTTCGTGCAGGGTCGCGTGGTTATGCCTATGTCTTGCTAAGACAATTTCCAGTGTCGCTGCCGGCACAGGCGGCGTGATAGGGCCACAATACGCTTCATCAAAGTCAGCTTTGCATGGCCTCATACACTGGCTGTCGCTGCGCTATTGCAAAGAGGGTATTGTGAGTGTCGTATTGTCTTCAGTTGTCAGTCTCGCTGATTGCCCACGACTTACCTCAGCTAACGAACGGTGTTGCCCCAGCGTTGATCGAAGGTGCGTCCACGCAACCTTGAGGTCGGATAGATAGGAGGACCACGCTCAATCACGCGTTTGTATCGCTTCATGTTGCAACGAGAAGACACGGATATGATGGCCAATCCTACGGACGCTATCAGAGTGAGTGGAGTTGAATTTTCAACAAGAAACACTTCTGAATACCGTTACGGCACCGCGAATAACAGAGCAAGATACCAATTGGACGCCTTGGCAAGCCCGACGAAATAGCGTCAATTGTGTTGATGCTCGCTACCAACGGCTACATGACGAACAAGGTAAGTCCGTCCACAGATGACAGTCCGGAATGCGACTACTGCTATGCGGAACTTCACTCACCTAACTCGGACGTCACGTCCAGATTATCGTCGCCGATGGAGGCTGGACCAATGGTGGAGGATTCTGAGATATAGCGCATGTTGGGGAAATGAATTGGCGGCACTATTGGACGTCTAGACCGTCGGCGCGAGATGGTGTTGGCCACAATCAGAGAATAGGACAAAGTCTGCCGAGTAACTCGAACCATGCAACGCATCATTGTTTGGTTGCCGAAGGAGGTCTGACATAATCATGAAGACGATATGCATGGATTGGGTGAGTGATAGTGGATACAGTAAATGTGGCATGCATGCGGCTGGTATACGAGGTGATTATACATTACCTATGCGCAAGATATAACCCAGTTGACAAGCAGATAACGAAAGCGTGTAGACAGCGAAGGTAACAATTCGCGCACCAGACAGCATGAAATGGTCCGACCGGCGGAACAGCAGGTTCATCACTTCCCTAGAGCTGGCGAGCCTTTGGCAGACAGCCCCGCAGTCTCGATGATCTCGTTCAGGGTGCTGGTCCGTTTGTTCGCCAGCTCTAACTGCCGTTGTAGCGACCTGTAAGACGGGACAAGGTCAACCTGGCGGGTATAGCATTCGAAGACGCGAAACTCACTTCAGCTGATTCTCGAGCTCGCTGGCCCGCTCCTTCCCTCCCTGCTTCTCCCGCTTGATCTTCTCCTCGGCGGTCTTCAGACGAGTTTCGTACTCTTTGACGCGCGCCTCCCACTTGCTGTCAGCCACAGTCGTCTTCTGATTTACTGCAGTGAGCTTCTCCTCGGACTGCACAAGCTGATTCTGGAGGTTGATGGCACGTCGCTCCGCGTTCTGGGCCCGTGCGGTGAGCGCTCGTATCTCCATCGAATCTGCCTGATTGCCCTTGCGAGTAACAACGGCGGACTGCAATGCGGCGTTCGTAGCCTGCTCGCCCGAGGTAGATTGTGTGTCACAGAAGTAGAGGAGGGTCATGAGACAGGACAGTCATGACGGGGAATCGCACAGGTTCAACGTCAGTGCACGATTCGTCTTCAGCAGCTACCACCATTGACGCACCTGTAAGGCTTCAATCTCGCCCTCCTTTGCGCTGAGTTTCTTGCGCCACGTTGCCTTGGCTTCGGCCAGCGTCTTCACACTCGCCTCAAACTTGTCGATCTGCTTCCACCGAAGATCGAGCTGCTTGCGCATGTCGTTCAGCTTGTCGCTGTATCGCTGCTCCGCCTCCTTGACGCGCTTCTCGAAGTCGCTCTGAATCTGGCTGAGCGCCTTGAGACGCGTGATGAGATTGTCGTGGAAGACGCTGAAGTTCGTGAACGGCTTTGTCTCCGCTTGTCCGTACTTCTTCTGTTGCACGAAAGGATTATACCAACGCCTCAGTTTATAATTCCAGCAGTACGGGCGGACGTGGCACGTACCGGAGTCTTGTCGACACCAACGATCTTATCCATATATTGATAGATCGTCAAGAGCAGTGTGTTGCGCTCTGTCAACTGGTCCCGGTACTGAGCTTCGGCAGCCAGCAGTGCACGTTGGTCCTTTGACAGTCGCTGCTCGAGTTCCGCAACGCGTGTCCGCAGGTTGGCAGTTTCCGACTCCGCCGTGTGCAGGGAGGCTTGCGTGCCGTCGAGCTTCTCCGACAAGTTCAAGCGCGCTTGGGTTTCGGCAGCAAGCTGTGTCGCGAGATCCCGGTTCTCTACGTACAGCTTGTCGATGACGCCGTCGCGATCTCGACCCTTCCCTTCGCGATCATCGAGCTCCTTGCGCGCGCGGGCGAGCTCGTCCTCGAGTCGCTCCACATCCCGCCGCAGGCGGTCAACTTCGAGTTGGAGGGAGAATCTAGCCGTTGTATGAGACTCTCCAAGCTTCTTGTTGTCGGCTTCGAGGGTCTGGAGGGCAGTCTGCACGGCGGCAAGATCCGCCTCGCGCTGAGTGAGCAGCGATTGCGCACGCGCAAGATCGTTGAGGGCGGACTGGAGCGCCGATTCCTTGGCTTCGAGAGCGCGACGTTCCTGCCGGATGGCATCGTCATGTTCCTTCCCGGCCTTGTCGAAGTCGACCTCGAGGCGCTCCCGCACCGCACGTTCGCGCTGCAGCTCTTGCACAACCTTTTCAATGTGCTGTGCGAGCTCCTCCTTGCGCGCACGATGCTCTTGGGCTTCAGCATCGCGAGTGTTATAGAGATCCGTCAGCTCCTGGAGGTCGGCCTTCAGTTGCGCGACTTTCTGTAAGGATACATAAGCACAGAGAGAACACAGCGTTCGAGCATAGCACTCGCCTGCTTGAGTGCTGCACTCAGCTGCTCAAGGCGGTCGCGCTCGTCCGCCTCGTCCTCGCGCACGCGCTCCATCTCCTCCTTAAGCCGCTCGTTCTCCTCTTCCAGCGCGTAGAGCTGGTTGCTCATCTTCTCCAGATCACGGTTGGCCGCTTCGAGTTCGTTGTCCTTCTCTTCAGCTTCGCGCTCCAGGTGTACGAGCGTCGCCTCGAACTTCTGGTGTAAGTCCTCCGCGTTTGCTTCATACTCATCGATGTGTAGGCGTAGCTCTTTACACTCCGCATCCCGCTGCTCGAGCGCCTGAGAGACAAAGTCAGATGAGTACTCCGTACGAAGACGGCGGGCTCACGTCGCGCAGCTCCTCCATCTGGCCCTTGGCCTCGTCGACCTCCCCTCGCCATTCTTCCTCCACGCTCTCCACGATCCGCTGGTGCTCCGCTATGAGCTCCTCGATCTCCCTGTGCTTCATGTCGATCTCGTCCTCCTTTTGCTGGAGCTCAATCTGTGCTGCCGCAAGTTTGTCACGAACTGCATTAAGGTCCTCCTCGATCGCTTCCCTGCCTTCGCGCTCCTCCAAGATCTGGGCACGGCTATGGCTGCGCTCAATTGACTCTGCTTCGCGTCGCCGTTGCAAATCCTCGAGCTCGAGTCTTAGCGCCTCGACCTCATCTGCCAAGTCGTCCCTCTCGTCCGTCCTCTGAACCGCCAACTCCTCAAGCTCGTCGATGCGGGCCCGCAGTTCCTCGTTTTCGCCCTCCAACTCTTCGGCCTGTCTCCTCCATCGTTCGCTCCCGAGTGATGAATGGTCGTCTCTCGATTCGGCGAGCTCACGCAGCCTTTCCAGCTCTTCAGTATTCTCCTCCAGCAGCCCACGAACATTCCCCAGCTCCTCCTCCAGCTCCGCGTTCCGCGCTTCCAGCTCCCTCGAAGCACCATCGTCCGGCCCAATTGCCCGCCTCCTCCTCAGCTCTCGTAGCTCCTGCTCCCGCTCCGCTAGCTTCTCCTCAAGCTCGCGTGCCCGCGATTGGGCGCCGCCCGCGCGCTGCGAGTGCTCAAGCTCACGCTGGAGCTCGAGTACGAGCTTCTTCAATTTCTTGATTTCCATGCCGCGCTGTTGGACTTCGATCTTGAGGTTGATGTTTTGCTTCAGCGCGGCATCGATCTGGTCGGGGGCAAGCTGCGCGAGCCGCTCCTCGAGGAAGTGCACCTTGAGCTTAATGTTGAAGTTCTCCTTCTTGAGCGCGTCGATGTGCTACGTTTCCCGTAATGCAGCGAGAAGATGACGTGTGTCCGATACATCGTGCAAATGGATCACCATTACGAGAACCAATGAATCGTGTGCATAGGGCGCACCTTCTCCTGGTCTCGTAGTGTTAGGTTCGTCCCGCCTTTCGTCCCCGCACTCCGCGTGCGTTTGGGGCGTCCGGGAGCAGAGACGTCCGTCGTCGTGTCACCCCAACGCTCTGACCCCTTCCGCCCGTCTGGGGTATCCAAGACGTCCCCATCCTCTTCTTCACCGTCGTCTGCATGTCCAAAGCGCTTCGAGATGGGGGTGGCCTCCTCCGCACGCCGCTTCGCAAATGACCCGTTTGGCGGTGAAACAGCGGTTGTTCCTGTAGAAGCCGAGGGGATCCGGAGCTTGCGGGCAGGGGTTGAGAATGTAGACGTGAACGAGCCGAGCGAGATGTCCGGGACGGTGCCAGATGATTGTGCTGATGTGTCCGCCTGGGTGTTAAGCGCCGCAGACATAGTTGCGGCGGTCGAGGGGCTGTCGACGTCGCCGAGGACGACGAGAGGGCGGTTGGAAAGCCTCGGGGTCGGGCAGCGGGGTCGTAGCCGATGGTTGTCGCGGAACACAACAATACAACATATGGAGCCGCGTGCCGGTAGGTACCGCTTAATCAATTCGATATCATACATATCGGAGTTCGAAACGCCTTGCTCACAGTCTCTACTCCGCAAGACCCAGTTCGTACTCAGCAGCCCACTATCCCCGACAGCAAACGTTTCGCTCACCGGCGGCATTCGACGATGCCTTCTTCCACACTAATACCCTATGTATCAATGTACATACCGTAAGCGTGTCAAGACTGACTTACTGAAAGATCCGACGCGATAGGCACTTCCCAGTGGATTCTGTCATTAGGCGTCGTAAGCGCAGTGTCAGGATTCACCCGACCGACGCGGCTGCTCGACCTTGTGAGGTGAGTGATTCTTCCGCATTGATTCCGCCGAGTGTACTCGCAGGTCGCTTGATCGACCAGAATCATCACTTGCCTGCTGATAGACGTAACGTAACCGACAGCAGCGTCCAATCGTACAAGTATCGTTTAACGAGCTTTACCTGGCCCAGAAGCGATCTTAGGCGGTCGTACAAACCAAGCTAGGTACATAGCGCAGCGTCGGAGCGCTGAGCGAACGCCTATGTACCTAAGTACGCTGACTGGCTTGTCAAGCACAACGCCAATGCAGTCGATAGCGCTGGTTAGCGAAGCCGCACAAGGCCGAGGACCTGGCTGTGCTGCGGCGGCAAACCATTCGCGACATCAGAACGGAGGATCATGGCGTTCATGCTGTGTACCTACCATAAACCCTCCTGATCTTGCGTCGCTTGAGCTTGGGATCTCAGCCTCACGCCGAACCCGTTCACGACACAACTGCTGCCGCTGCCAGCGGGGCTTTCCAATGCGCGCGCTTGCCAGCATGCTCAATTCGGGTGCAACGAGACTGCATGGCGCGCATGAGTTTCACCGGAGACGCCAATTTGAAGTTCAGCTGGAGTTCCAAGTATATCTAGAATACCGACATACATGACTTGGGCGTTCCTCTATCGCTCAGTCCCTGATCTTCGATCCCACCCTGCGCAGCAACTCAGCTTCAATCATGACGAAGACCTGCGCGTTGTGCAGGTGCGTCTTCCACCTGTCCCACTGCATATATTGACTACGTGTTGACGTTTGCGGCATCAATCCGCTACAGAGAGCGTAATGAGGTACGTTCACAGATGCCATGCGTCTTTGACATGGGGCTGAACCCGCTTGACAGGAATGTGACGGCGCGCAGCCCATCTGCGGACAGTGTGCGGACTTCGGCGCCTTTGTTGCCTGCGACTACAGCAGCCGTGCAGCTGGTCCTAGTCCCAAATCTTCGAATCTTCTCCAGAAGGGCGCGGCGTGTCTTCCTTGCAGGCGAGTACCCAGACGAGGACCCGAACTCGTATGTAAGGCGGGAGCGGCTCACTGTCTTTGTCTGCACAGGAGAAAGAAAAAGGTTTGTTACTACCTGGAGGGCTGGGACCTAGCTGAAATCGTCGTCTGACCTCTTCACGCTACTTTCACTAGAAATGTGATGCAAAGAGACCGACATGCTCGACGTGCAAAGCCGCAAACAAGCATTCTCAGTGTCTATACGAAGACGACGCACAGCGCAACCTAATACAATCACTCGTAGCCCGTACGAGAGAGCTCGAAGAGCGCCTGGCCTCAGCAGAGCAGTCCCCCCGCAATTCCCCGCCCCTTCAGGGCTACTCGGCGCCCACACCCGAAGGTTTGCCCATACATCTCCCCACCAGTTTTCCGGAGAATCCCTACGCCGGCCTCTTCCCAGCCTGGAAGCCTCCTGTACTCGAGGTACTAAGCTCTAATCCCCCTGAGCTCTCTCCGCGCAATACGCTCGAGCAATACCGCGACTTGTGAGTACATCTGTTCGCCATTGTCGATACCTAGCTGTCCCTGATAACACCAGCCGCCTCCTTGCTCTCTCCTACAGCTCCCACTACGGCATGAAACTCTCTTCGGAGGCCAAAGATGCGCTTGTCACTGGCGACTTCTACAGCCCCTACATCCATCCTGCCCTCATCCACGCCGCGCAGCTCCTTGGGTGCACGACCTGGTCCCAGCTCAACCGCACGACGCCCATGGGGACGGTCGAGACGTTAGAGCTCGAGGCGACGCTGGCACTGCTCACGAGCGACACCCAACCACTTGTCGCGCTCCAAGTTCATAACTGCCTTGGTGTCTATTACTTCATCCGGCATATGTTCTCTGAGGGTGTTGAGTCCATCAGGATGGCATCTGACCTTGTGCGTCGACGCAACCTCCGCTTCATTGCGCCCGCGACCGATGTCTGGGACCCAATGCTGGAGCTTTCGCGTGAATCCGAAGAGACCGTATGTGCGCTGAGTCACCTGCTGTACATGAACATCGCCCGCTTCGTGGTGCTGGGTATGCCTTCGGAACTAGGCCCTGAGTACGAGCAGGAGTTCCAGTCGATTCCGGTGCGCCACCAACCCCATCTCAATTGGCCCCCGTACCTGATCACATGCCATCTCGTCGGATGATATAGCTAATGTACCCGCAACTATCTCGAACATACCTCTCCATTCTCCGGGCACGTGGAATCCTCCTATTTCACCGTACCCGTCAGCTCTCCGCTCAGCTTCAGAATCTCCCAGAGTCCCCATGGGAGCACCAGTCCTCTGGTGGCCTAAGAGCAAGCGGAGAGTCTACTTGGCTCGCCGAGTACTGGTCGCTCCTCGAGGAGGTCGAGATGAACCTTGCTAGCGTGAATCCTGCGCTACTCAAGGCGTCTCTGAACCCCGACCTCCGCTCGTCGGCGCACGGGCTCAAGATATGCTTGATCGTCACGCTCACCGCGGAGGCAGAACTCCACCATCTAGCCCCGGAGACACATGCGGAGTCTCGTCAACATTGCTTGAACGCTGTGCTCAAACTTGTTGGAGTCGGGAAGACGTTTTCGGCGGAGGACTACGAGTTGCTGGACCCTGTCCTTGGCGTCAGTATCTGACCTGTTCTTGTCTCTGGTATCAAACAGGAATCATCGCTAATTTGAGGGCTGTGCAGTTGTGCTGGTTGACCGCCGCGAAGATCTTATTTGAGGAGAGTCGTCGGTCAATGGACGAGCTCTCCGCGATGAATTGGGCGACCGCGCGCTCAGTGCTGGCGGCTTGCGCGCCCGTGCTCGCCCAAGCCTTACCATTGCTAGGTGCGTTCATTCATTAGGCAAACAAAGGATCCGTCACTCATACATGCGCTCTGAAATGGTCGACAGAACAACCGCTGAACCAGATTATCGGGAGGGCAGCTAGCTTTTCATTACACGGATAAAGACGCCTACCTGTCTCCGCCACACCCGGATGCTCAGAAGCTATGCATTCCTGGCGTGTACGTCTACCCGCTTATATAGCGTCATAATAACATCTCTCGCAGAGATATACTGTATCTATGTAAGATTCCTCGTCGGTTTGTTCTTTCCGTGCCATGCTCAACTGCCAATCGTTCTCTCTAGTGTATAATCATGTATATACTCCATCATACGACAGTATTACTATATCGCATCAATGTGCGCAGAGCCATCCGACGGCAATCTGACTGGTGTAAAGCCTCAGTCGTATCATCCCCTAGGGCGCCCTGCTACCTGTCCAGTGCCATGTATTTTACCTCCGAATCGGACGTCGCGTAGCGTACCATTTGCAAATAGGAAAATTCCGAGCTGCCCACCATGCCACGCAAGAGGTTGCCACCAGATCAACATTCTACCCGTCGATCGCCGTGAGCGCAGGGACCTTCTACCTCCCCTGTGCTCCCTCGTGTCGCTTTGAGAACTGTTGCGTCGCTACGATTGTGAGTACAAAGGCGGGCGGCATGGGGGCGATCAATGGTTTCACTTTTGTACGCTGATGATAGGAAGAACATGGTTATCGCGTGGGTCGAGGAGCGTCTCAGACCCTCCGTCCCTGGATAGCCGTATGTCTAGACACAGCATGGAGGAATGTTCTACATTCCGATCAAGGGTGCTCTAGACCACAGGAAGTCACCATCATTCAAAGTCAGAGGACTGTCGCGTGGCTGGTTGCGGGGTGGGACCTGGCGTAGAAAGAATTTGGAGTAAACCCAAAGGCCGTGCCCGATATCCGCGAATACTTATTGATATCATTGTTTGGCAGTCCTACTCCGACGGGGCTGGTTCAAGTTCGTCGCTAACGCCAAGTGTGTGTCCTTGTGCCCAAAAAAGCAACCATCGTTCGAGTTACATAGCGCGCCCTAACGTGCTCACAAGGAAACTTGAAGCAGGACGAGTTTTTCGCCGCTGAAATCTCTGATGTGCCTGAAGTGTAAGCCCACGAAGCCCTCCACTTCGAGTTCCAACTGCTCAACAGTTCGGGTGTACTATGATACTCAGGCACTGCATGCATGCATCTTCCTCCGGAAAGGTTGAAAGGTAGGCGGCCGCGACAGGAGCAAGTCGCCGTACTATCGCGAAGCGGGCGCTGCTCTACTGGGATCACCGCACGGCAGCCTGACAGCCTGACAGCGTGTACCACTGGCAGTTCTGGTCTTTGCAATGGTTTGCTGTCATCGAGCTGGTCCTTCTTCGCAAGTCGTCAGTCATTAGCACAGACTCAAAGATTGATGTCGTAAGTTGGCGAATCATCTGTAGGTTCGATATCGCCTGCGGGCGGTCCAACCATCTCGCATGAAGTCGTGACTGCCTCCCAACCGGCAGCAAAGAGAACGAGCCTCAAACAAAGCGTTCAAAGCGTTCAAACCACCTCGGACATCATGAGCCTCAAACAAAGCGTTCAAACCACCTAAACAAACTCGGACATCAGCTCGGGCGAGCGCACTGTGTCCGCCGGAGTTAACAGGACCCTCACAAAGATGAATGCCGTACGGTACACGGTAAAGTTCGGTAGAATTGCCGACCGCTGAAAACCGCTGGAGACCGCCGTCGGGCACCGGAGCTGAGAAGCAGGGACGAGCATGGTGTGCGACGTCCATCAGGACCGTCATGAGTACGCTCCGTGGGCCGCGTTCCAGTCCACATCTGTTGAGCGACGAATGTCTAGGCTTGACTCCTCTCAGCCGCGCCATGTTGCAATCATGTAGGGTAGTTCCGTACTTCGAAGGCATGTGGGTCGGCGGGTCGGAGCAACGGACCTGCGAGAAGAACGTGAAAGGACAAATGTGATTACATACCAGAACACCTTCTAGTCAAAAGCTTCTGTGAGGTACCGTTCGGATGAGGCCAACAGATCGGAAGGCCAGACCGTGTCTTGAGCAGGCTGGACATCGGTGTAGCAATGATGTTCATTCTTCTACATAAGCCGTCGCAGAGCGTATGGATCTCCGCCGGCACGGCATGGCCGCCGCACGCATGTTCAATATGGTCCACTGTGTTCATGACAATGGAGACAATGTGGCATCGTCGCGCTATATGATGGAGACACCAGGTTGTGCGGTCTCAGCGGCGGAGCGGCAAGGACATGCTGCGAATTCACGAACATTCATCCGTCCTGCTAGGCTGAGATGCTTTGAATAGCATGTCCTCGGAGGGCCGTACGGACAAGATCGGTTTCCCTATGAAACCCGGGTAAGCGAAGTAGTCTCGATCAAAACCGTCTCTGTCCGGAGTGTGTGCAACGCAAAACCAAGGAGCGCGCACCATCGAACAAGGCATAGGTGACCCTGTCGCCCTCTGCACGTTGATGCTCGCTCGGCGCCCACGCAGCTGGGCAGATATGTATCGGTAAAAATGGGACTGCTGCTACGCCTGCTGATGCTGAGGTCGACCATACTTGTGAGTGCCCTCGCAAGTAGCCCTTCCATTCGCAATGCAACCTAGCCGCTAAAATCTGAGCGCCCCAGAGTTATCAGCACCTCAGACACTCACCATTAGCATCATGCCCACTTGACGTCCTCGGTGGTAAGTTGGGTGAGAAGGGTCCAGGACGAGAGCACGCTGACTGCCCATAATCCCTTTCCTACGTGAGGGAGGGAATCCTCCTCGGACTTACCATCATTCCTATCGGCGCTGGCAGCGAATCTGTCTTTCGACGTCTACGGCGAGTAAGACGACCAACAAGATGCCATACTTCATGCAGACCAGATACATGCAAGACAGCCGTAGACGACAAGACAACGCGCACGCACGTGCCATCTATAGCCACGTCCATACATGTGCCAACGCATGCGCATGGCGGCTTTCGTTGGAAAATCAGGTTGAGGACGGGGATGGATGGGGCCGCACCCTCGACGTTCGACGAATTGCGCCTTCCTGGGCGAGCAAGACGGACGCAAGTACCCTGTGTGACACAAACGCGTGTGCCAGGAAGCAGGAGGTATACGGAATGCGAGAGGCGTTGAGAGTAATGAGTACCGAGGCGAATGTCAACGGTTGAGGGACGCGGGTTGGGAGTGATAGAACACTATGGGACAGGAAGGGGTGGTAGAGATACAGGTATGTACGACGTATGGTGTTGTTGCAGCGAATACGATGTCGGCCGGCGATCTGCGACTGAAATTCGAGGTCGAATCGCCGATGGTAAGTGATATAGCGCTTGGTGGTGGTAGTAGTAGACAAGGAGGGTGATTGGTTATGTTGATGCGATGTGAGCAATGTTGTGTTCCGGATTCCATACGAGAATTCTTGTTTTCCTTTGCTGAGACAAGACGATATTCCAGAGAACGATGACGAAGAGACGGAAACCAAGAGATGAACGGATGGAGATTAGTTATTAACGATTATGCAATGTACCAGTTTGCGTTGTTGTCTGGGCCAGACATCCGCATAGTGAGCCGAGCTGTATAACAAGAATGGACTCCGCAACATCACTCACAATCGTCAATGGCGGCGGTCGTATACCCAGCACGCCAGGTCGTGAATGAGCGTATCCAGGTCCACGGATACAATCGGAGGTGGAGGCAAGCTCGTGCAGTCATCATCCAGATGACGGAGCGGCGATGAACGAAGGGGTTGCAGTGGGAACTAGAGACACAGCCGATGGTGGTAGAGATGTAGCAGATCTCGATAAAGGCGAGCGCGAGACAGGCTGAGGCCGCGGCCCGTCACCAAGAGCGCGCCTCTTCGGGCGCGTCGCCGCACGTTCGCGGTGACGCATGATAAGCGTTGCGATGAGCTGTGGGACAGGAAGAACGCCATTGCCTGATGAAGGTGCGATGTCCTGTGCGCGATCAAACGTAAAGGATGGAGACAACACGGCCTGGGTACGACGGGCTGCGCGTTCGGCGACTTCGCGCGCTGCGTCACGGGCGATAGGCGGCAGGGAGTGCTGCGTGGGCTCTGCGGCGACGAAGGTCGAGGTAGGAACGGATGAGGAGATTGGGGAAGCATCCTCGAGGGGAACGGGCTTGTATCCCATGTCAATAAGAGTGTGCCAGATGCGTTCGACGAGAAGTGCATCTTGCGCGGCATACTCATCAGGACCGCGTGTTACCGTAGTGTTATTCTCAGTACGCGTTCGCACGCGAAGGGCGATGCTGCTGTGCATGGACGCCAGGAATTGGGCGTCGGCCACGACACGTCTGGCCTTGCGAACTGTCCTGCCTGAAGGGTTGCCGGCACTCATGCTCTCGCGGCGTGCTACCGGTCTTCTCTTCATAGGAGGTTGTGGTGTGGATTGATCCGCCATGTCGACGTCCTCGGACGGGAAGGCCTGGAGAATTTGAGGCAGAGGTTTGTCCCGCGGCGAGGCAGAGTCACTATGGAAGTAAGACGAGGCGAGGCATGACTTGGAACGGCGACGGAGGATGTCAATGTGGGAAATTCGACGGTGGAAGGGAAGTGCGTTATCTTTGGTTCTCGGGCGAGCTTCGACTGTGGCTGCTTCGTCTTCTCCACTGCTGGAGTCGTACCCATCATCGCTATGAGCTCGTTTCCTGGAGGGACAGGGAATGGGCGAAGAAGGGAACGCGACGGAATTCGTTGGTGCAGAACGAGCCTCGGAGAGAACGGGAGCAGAAGACTGAGTCTCGGAATTAGCACTGAGTGCTGTGCTTGCGCGCGCTGCGTTGGCGTTGGTAACCGAGACGGTTGGAGAGGCCTTCTGGATAACGGGCAACTTGAAGTGGACCTTGAGTGGGCGCGTTGTCCGGGTATTCGCCTTCGACGAGAGAGGCTTCGAGGAGGGGGCGGCGGAAGGGGTGGGTAGGAGCTGCATGATGACTGTCGGGCCTTGCAAGACGTGTCAAACGACGGCCAGCGCAGCTCGCAGGAGGAAGAGAACAAAGGGTGTAACGAGCGGAGGTACAAGTTTAATATCGGGAAGCAGTCCAAGGGCGTGAAGAGTCGTTTCCCCAACCGTTTCACCGGATCACGGTCCTGTGACCGGCCACAGCCGTTGTGACGAGCTCTCGTTCCCACGCCCACTTTGGCAGCATCCGCGCTCCCAGGCGAGGCCACATACAATTATGCTTGGCACTTAGGCTAGACACGATCAATTGCTGGCACTTTAGGGCCTGTTCGGCAAAGAGTCAGGCTCCTACCCACCGCTGTCTCGAGTTGAGGGGGCGATATCCTAGAGGCGGGGGACAAGCTGATATCCGATAGAGTACAGAATCCTGTAATATAAGCGCCAGATCACGTGTACATTGTATCCCCCTCAACTCTCCACAGCGGCTGGCATCAAACACAGGTAAATAAACGGAGCCCGGAGAGAAAGCGCTCGAGACCATCCCCGTTTGGTAGGCACTCCCCCGAGGGCATCATACTTTCTCATAAATTCCTCTCTCCCAGAACACCTCTTGTCCTCGGGCCTATCCGCCCTCCCAATAATGTCATCACAGATTCCTGACGTCTTGGAGATCAGGGCGTGTGCTTTGGAGAAGCTCGGTCGCAGACCATGTCTCTGGCAATGTGATGTATTCAGAGCTCTGCTCAAGCGCAGTACTAGAGATATTGTGTGCCACCCATTATGTTTTGCCTTGGCCACGGCTTGTACGGCTTGAGAGTGACAGGCACACATAATGTTGTGTGCCCAGTTGCAGATCAAATCAGAGGTTGCTGAGTGGTAGTATCATAATGCAGCCACAATGCTGGCGGCATTTTGGAGGAGGTCATGAAGGACGGGGTAGGCAGGATCATGGCATTGATTTAGAACAAAAAGTACAAGGTCAGCTAATGAGAGACAAGAAGCAAAGATTTGCATCAGACTTGTGGCTGTTGTGCGTGGACGGGATCCATGGCGAGAGAGGAGCCGACAGTACTGTTGTAAGATTCAGAGTACCGTGCAGGAGTACAGCGAGATTAACTGAAAATAGCTCGTGCCCACGGGGAGTGCCTACCAAACGGGGATGGTCTC